TTTTTTTTTTTTTTTTTTTTTTTTTACTTTCAAGAATATTTTTAAAACATTATTAAATGTTTCATGTTTGACATAAAATACTATTATTTCCATCCAAGACTAACGGTAAGAGTTTTTTTTTTTTTTAAGTTTTACCATAATATTAAAATTTTTGAAAATTTATGGATACTTTCGACCAATAATTTATGTATGATTGGTGTATATATATATATATATATATATAAAAGTTAAAAAGAAAAAAAAAAAAAAGGATAAAAGTTAATAAAATGAGACTGATATTTAGAAAACTGAAAAATGAAGAAAAGAATATATAGTTAAAATCTAAAATATAAAGCAACAAAATGATTTGGCATTTGGTAAGTACTCTACATATGAAGCAAACCCTAAAAAGAGTAAAAAAACAAAGAAACAAAATTTAAAAAGGAGAGGTGGTTGTAGTTGAAATATGGAAGCCTAGTTTTGGTTGCTTTAATTTGGTACCTACTCCTTTTTCTTTATCTTTCCTTACAAGATTTGCTTGGCTTAACTCGATCCATCCGACCCAATCACCAAATTTAAAGTGAATCTAACGACTTTTAAATCTAATATATAACCTAAACGTTCGGTTGGGCCAACTCAATTTGTGGTATCCCACATTGGAGTGAGAAGAGAACAAAACATTTTTTTGTATATGGGTGTGTAAACCTCTCTCTAGTAGACATGTTTTAGAATTTTGAGAGAAAATTCAAATGGAGAAACCCAAAAAATACAATATTTACTAGTGGTGAGCTTGAGCAATTACAAATGATATTAGTACCAAACACAGAGTCGTATGTCAATGAGGACCTTGGCCTCCAAAGGGGAGTGAATTGTGAGATCCTATATTTATTGAAGAGAGGAACGAAACGGTTCTTAAAACTATGATGGAAAGTCTAAAAACGACAATATTTGTTACACAATTGATAAAAATTAATTGATGCACATAAGCCATTAAATATTCATTAGTTCAGTGTTTAATTAACCGATATATATATATATATACGCTAAAGTCTTAAAAAAGAAGTAATTTAGAATTGATACATTTCTCGTCAAATCTCTACCTGGTATAGTAGCTGACTGGTTAAGGGATCAAATAGTCTTTTTAATAAGCTGGTTGAGGATTACATGATTGTTGCTTTTCAATTGACGCTTTTCGCATTAATTAGTACTTAAATAATCTTACTGGCTAGTGTGCCTGTTGCATTTGCTTCTCCTGGGAGTTGGTCGGTGAACAAAGATGTTGTATTTTTCGATACATCGATATGCATTGGATTAGTTTTTCTGGTTGGTGGGTATTCTTAATTCTCTTATCTCTTGAACCTCTTCGTTCTTGATACAAAAATGAAACGACCCTCCCCTACTAATTCTTTATTCTTTTCTTTTCCTCCCATTCGTAGAGACAAAAAAGCTAATATTACTAGTCATTATAGTTACCAAGATCAGAGGAGATTTGAACCCGTAACGGAAATATATATATAGTAATTTATAAGCCCTAATTAGATGCCTTTGAGTTCTATAATATATAATTTTATTCGTTATAAAATAATATTAATTGAATATAAATTTTAACTTGTTATTCAATAATATTTGAGTGGTAAATTTTGAGGGTTTTTTTTAGAGAAAAAATATATATTAATAAATAATGTTTTTTAGTTTTATTTTTATATATGGTGCCAGATCCATAAATTATTTGTTTAACCAATATCTTGATGCATGAAATAAGTATCTCGATGCAAAAATTATTAATTGATTAATTATTTAATTTAAAATTGTGTAAAATAATACTAACTTTAATTCAGTAGGTGAAGTATCAATAAGTTAATAACATTGTCTTTTCTACACTTGGGTTATTTATTAATTAATTAAATAGAATTTTATGTGAAACAAATTGAGTTTATATTAGTTGAATTTTATATGATTTTATTTATTTAATTTTTTTTTATAAGTATGGATTGTAATACTAATAAATGAGAGTTACTGATTAAAAAAAATTATATATATATATTCTAACGCTAATTAAAATGTCAAAATTTTAAATTTTAAATTTTATTTCTAAACTAAAACTAATATTTTGACGATATTGTCGATGATAACTCTCTAATTTCGGTAACTATTAACTTTAAAATTTTTATTTATATTTCATTCTCCTCTACTATTTTGTTGTTCTTTTAATTGATAACATACATTTATTATCAAATAAGTTATATTAATACCCTAAATTAAAAAAAGTATACATTCAAAATGAAACAATGGTAGGAATGACCAATCAACTTGTGCACCTTCATAACCTATTAATAAATTCCATTTTTAATTGTTTTTTTCAAAAATATCAAAAGACTTAGATTCAGCGACATTACTATTTTGTCGGTCAATTTGTGGGTAGTCATTTTTCTTGTCGGGTCAACCAAATCTTACTTTTAAGATTATTACCAAAATCAACATATATATAGTAGTTATGACGATCCAACCCGAACTCAATCAGTGAATTGTGAACTCTATTTGGATTGTTAAAGTACCAACTCAAAATGAGAGAAAAATCAATTTAGACCTGAAGATTAGGTGCCGTAAGGTTATAGGGATACACTCAAGTTGATTAAATGGGCCTTAATTAAGTCTCCATTATTATGATTATAAATAGGGTTAATTAAGAAAGGGAAGAACTTGTTGATGTTGGGTATTAAAAACTACTAATCTTTGTATTTACTTCAAAGAAAATGGGGGAAGAATTGCAGGTGTTTGGTAACCATGTGAGTCCCTTTAGTCGGCGAGTGGAGTTGGCTCTCCAACTCAAAGCCATACCATACCAATATATTGAGGAAGACATACCCAAAAAGAGCCATTTGCTCCTCAAATACAACCCACTTTACAAGAAGGTGCCCGTCCTCGTCCACAATGGAATACCCCTTCTAGAGTCTCTTATCATCCTCGAATATATCGATGAAAATTGGAAAACTAACCCTATATTGCCCCAACATCCTCGTGAAAGAGCTCGAGCAAGGTTTCTCGCCAAGTATATCGATCACAAGGTAACATAATTTAGATCCTATCATTTTGACTCTCGAAAATACAATGAAACGAATAACTAAAGTTGAAAGAAGCTAAATAAACACATACTTTTCGCTTTTAGACTTTTTCATACTCTTACAAGAAATGTTTCGTTTTCGTTTTTCAGGCTTCTCTTCAAGATTTTAAAATGTGTTAGGGAGAGGTTTCCACATCTTTTTAATTAATGCTTTGTTCCCCTCGAATCTTTTCCTAACAAAGACATTTTAAAACTGTGAGGGGGAAGTCTAGAAGAGAATTCAAATAGGATAATATCTGTTAGTGTAGACTTGGGCTATTACAAATGGTATCAAAGCCAGCTACCGGATCGTGTG